GGGCCTTAAGCAAAATAATTTGTGCCAATACTATTTATTCTTATAATTGCTGTTCAAATCTATTATGTAATATTATTTTTCTTTAATTTACAAAAATTTTAGATGCATACAACTACAAAATTGCCATGCCTGTGTGAATAGGGGCCGTCGTCGAACCGAGGTCTTGGGCAATTGCTTTTAGGTAAATCCGGCCCTGATATGAGTATATTATAAAAAAATCATTAACTTTTCAGAACAAAAAAACGTTACTGTGTACATTTTTAAAAACCTAAAAGCATAAAGAAATGTACAAAAATAAAGCACAAACCATTTTTTATAGGTTTTTAGAAAAATACATGATTTTTAAAATATAAAAGTTAAAGATTTTTAAAATTCAACCTTTTGCAGTATCAACGACGATATTTAAATTTTTTTTTATTTTAGGTGACTCAGGGTACCCCTTGGCAGCCAAATAGAGTATTACTTTCATAATCCAAAATTTAAGATGGATTCCTGGAGCCCTACAAAGCATAACTTCATATGAAAAAAAAAACAATTTTTTTTTACCAAAGACCACTGTAAATTTCCTCCTAACCTTACTGGTACCTACCTATATGTATAAGTATTTATTAATGTATATATAAATATGTATATTTATTAATATGATGTACCTACTTATGTACAAGTATATTATTATTGAATAAAGTAGTAAAGAAGTTCTGGAATTAAAAAAATAAATAAAATTAACCTTAATTCTGTGAGGGCCCAGGGCTTGTTGTATACAAATATATAAATAAATAACATTAAATAAAAATTATCTGTTTTTATTGGTACAATTGTTTACTTACATTTAAATCAATTTAATATTCAGTTTGCATTAATTTATTAACAAAATGAAACTAATAACATGTTTTAATTTATCCTAAAAGCAATTTTAAAAATGTAGATTATAATTTGTATAATACCTATACCTAATATATTATATAAACTCACATTACAATTTTATTAAATTAAATTTAACTTTGGTATAGGTAGTATACAGCCCATTATAAATTGTACTTATAAATTAACTCCCTATAGCACCACACCCATTTTTATGTTAACTGAATTTTTAACTTAATTTTGTAAAATATGCTTGGTTATTATGATAATACATTGATATTTGTTGTCAGCATTACAATTATTTTTTATTTATTATTTCTTAACATTTGCAAATGTACCTTTAAAATAAAATGTTCATGAGGGAGAACACAGTAAATAGTGGAATATTATATTATACAGGGTGTTTCATAATATATCCGTAGGACTTCAGGATGTGATAGCTCATCCAAAAAGATGAAAAAAGTCGCTATTAACTTACCCTCTAAAATACACAATTTTCGAGATACAGGGTGTTGAAATTTTAGAAAAAAAATCGTTTTTAGAATATCTCCGCAACCGTTTATCGTACAAAAAGCAGCTTTTGTAAGCATTTTCTGCTCATAATAAGCTTTGTAAGCATTTTCTGCTCATAATAAGCAATTTTTTGTATCAGAAAAAAAATTTTTTACTCATAATTGGTGGAGATTTTGAAGGTGTAGCGGATGTTTTTCTCCTCAACTTCTACGCCCCTGAAAAAAGTACGGTTGAGAGGCCCATTCGGACGGCCAATGTTTTCTACACAAAAAAGGTACTCCTGGTTATAAGCTCTAAAGTTGACCGTTTTCGAGAAAAATCAACTTTTATGTTTAAAAACATGGTCAATTTAAAAAAAAAATTTTTTTACTAATTAAACAAAATTTATTTTAACGTTAGAACAAGTAAACAAGTAACCAAACGATAATTGCAAAATTAAAAAAAAAATAAAAAATGATTCAAAAGTTGTCTTTGCAAAATTCTCCAAACTGTAAAGGTAACGCATTTCGCACATTTCAGCATTTGTGTAAAAAATCATTTTTTTTAAATTTTGCAATTATCGTTTGAATTTGTTACTTGTTCTAACGTTAAAATAAATTTTGTTTAATTAGGAAAAAGTTTTTTTTAAATTGACCATGTTTTTAAACATAAAAGTTGATTTTTCTCGAAAACGGTCAACTTTAGAGCTTATGACAAGGAGTACCTTTTTTGTGTAGGAAACATTGGTGGTTCGAATGGGCCTTCAAAATCTCCACCAATTATGAGTAAAAAAAATTTTTTTCTGGCACAAAACATAGCTTATTATAAGTAGAAAATGCTTACAAAAGCTGTTTTTTGTACGGTAAACGGTTCCAGAGATATTCGAAAAAAACCGATTTTTTTTCTAAAATTTCAACACCCTGTATCATTTTTTTGGATGAGCTATCACATCCTGAAGTCCTGCGCATATATTATGAAACACCCTGTATAAACATTTATTTTAAGGGAACATTCACAAGTATGAATAGTAACTTGTTATTGCTATTACATAAAGAATTTCAACGAAAAACTTTCACACAGTATTTTCACTCCACCTGGATGGGCAAGTCTTGAAAAAAGGGTGTATTACCATTGTTTTTATACTATTTTATTGATACAACATAAAATAGGCTGTACACAAAACTATCTTTTATCTTATACTTAATACATTTTAATATTTAAGAATCTGATCATTATTTTAAAGATAAAATATATTTTATTAGGGTCATTTCATAACAAGGCGCCAATAATATTGCTCAATACTTTTGCTTTTTATCCATATTCTTATGAAAGACCAAATTAATACTAATTTTTTAAAACTTATACCTCAATAACACTTCCCCTCAGAGCTTGAAACCTTATTTAAAATATGAAACCTTTAAAAATTTAACCATTGCTGCAACTCAATATAGTGTCTTGGCAACCTTCATAACTTAAGCATCTTTCATTACGAGGCCTAAAATAAAGTATTCATGTAACCTTTATGAGTAACATTTGAATTTAAGCTAGCCCCTCTTAGTTGGAGGGTCTAACTCAAATCCCCAAAGCATATAAAAAAATGAACCTTTGAAAACCATTAAAGTAAAAAAGCTATAACTCCAACTATTTAATTTTCCCTCTAACTTTAACATATGAAGGTTCTAATATAATTTTGAATACTTGCCTATATTAATTCAATTAAGTATAAACCAACATAAAAAGGCAAGTTGATTGTTGAATAGTAAACGAGTAATTTGTTTTATTTGTAATCAAACATTTTGATTTGTTAAAAGTTTGGATGGTTTATTCCTTTTTTTCAACACAACACAATTATTTACAATTTCACACTTTTGAGACACTTATTGCTCTCGGAACCCCACATAATATAAAGAACCAGAAATAAGAAACCATAATAAACTTGTGTTTTGATGGCCCAACTTGATTCAAGTAACTTGAAGGCTAAAATTAAATAAAAATGTGTAAAAAAACTATGTACTTAATTGTAAAATGCGTCGTATTACCTGATTTTTGTTACATAAATACAACTTGTGCTTAATTATGATCAGAAATATTTTTATTTATGATTTATAATTTTAGGTTATGTCAGCGTTGCCAACATAAAAATAATACCATTTTTATTATATAGACAAAATAAATAAAAATAAACGATAATATAAAGTAAAGGAAATAAAAAATATTAAATAATAATATTATTTCTTTATGAAAGGCCTTATATCTCATTCTGTGGAGGTATAACCATAGAAAAAGGATATAACAGAGATACGACCCTGACTCAAAACTTTCTTCCAAACCGTGTTACCACCACTAACATATTAAGCAAAAATTACTGTTTTAACAGACATGTTAAGTTACATCAATGGGCCCAATGTCAGATAATTACACGTGATACGTATAATAGCGAAGTGATTGGTCAACAGCAAATACCGAGTTTTGGGTCTGACAGGAAGAAAAAAAACCCAGTTTTGCATCTGCATTAAGTTTTTAAATGTATTTTATTCTACAAATATTAACTCATTCATCTGGTTTACCTAATTATGCTGTAGGCAGTGTATTAATGTACATAAATAGTATAAAATATATATTTTTTAAAAATTTGCAAAAACCGAGTTTTGCATCTAATGTACTCAAATTAAATAATTATAATTATTAAACATGGAATACCTACTCTCTAAAAATGAATTAGTGAAAAATGACTAGTTTAATAGTTATTAGTGTCTGCTTTTTCACTTGTACCATGGTTAACTCTGGGATACCATGGTAACCCAAAATTTAACAGCCAATTCTTATGTAAAATTGTCCCCTGAATTCGAAAAGTTCAATAAGTAAAACAGTTTTTGAGATATATTCAATTTTCCATTTAATATGTAATTGACTATAGCTCAAAAACTGCTCCACTTAATTTTTGACGGTATTTTCGGCTTCAGGGGACAATTTTACATAAGAATTGGCTGTTAAATTTTGTGATACCATGGTATTCCCTGAAAAAGCAGCCACTAATAACTATTAAATAAGTCATTTTTGACTAATTAATTTTTAGAGAGTACCCTTTTTATTTTAATAACAAAATCGAAAATATGAATATTTTTTTTATTCTTTGATGGATGTCGCCTATACCGCAGCGCGTGCCGACAATGCACTGCGACCCCGCTAAAAAATGTTTGCATGCCTGATCAATAATGATTATTGATCATACATGCAAAAAATTTTTATTGAATAATCTAAAATAAAAAACTACAACCACTGGCTTTTAGCCAGTTGATTTTTAACATTTGTAAGTAATAATTGTTAATAAATCGTGCCCTACTTGCTCCCCTTATCTGTGCGCCCCTGTCGGCTAAAATGTATATTAAAATCATAGGTACTAACATGGCCTATAATAATTATTATAGACGCCATTTTATTATTAGCCTAGGGCAACAAATTGTCTTATTCCGGCCCTGAGGAATTTTCTTTTATACATTTAATTATGGGCAACCCCTAAAGTCATCCGGACCACCTTATAATGTATTATTATATTACCTAATATTGCAGATGCGGGGGTTTAACTTAGCACGGCAGTACACATTCTAATGATAAAAAATATTTAATATAAATGGCTTTGTTTTTAGAACTGTAAAATAATGGATATTTACGATATTGAAAATAATGCAATTGAGAGCATGGACATAGACATGAAAATGCCCTTTGGCTTTAAAATTTTAATGCGCTCGCCGGACCTAACAGACATGATAAAAATGACGGAAAAGAGCGGATGCCCTGTAAACTCTGATTGCCAATTTTGTCAAATGACAAATACCACTAATAAAAAATGGATTTCAGCTGTAAGAGATAACCAAGACTTATATTTTATCGCCAATAGAAATGTGTGTGTTTCTGCGTGCCCCTCGTAAGAATGAATGGGGCGTAAGTATTTTTTTGTTTTACTTGTTATACATTTTAGCAACCAAATGGATACAGAGTGTAAGGCTATCACTGGACAACGTGGAGAATGCGTACCTAGATTTAGAAAATTAATGCTGTTATCATATACGAAAGAAATGAATAAACTAATTGTGAAAAGCTTTCATTTACCACATGGATGCACTTGTCTTGTTCATTAAAATAAAAATAAAATGGCTTTTGGTTCATAACCTTGTAATTGACAATTGACAATTACTAATTGTAATACTTAGCTTTTGTTACAACACAAAAGAAAATAAAGTAGTTTTTTCTATTTGTATCTTCATGTATTCCTTTAAATTTAATATTAAAAAAAATGTTTAGATTAAGTAATACCTTAAAAAACAATATAATTTATCAAAGGGACTCTCTGATCCAGTTCCGATCCTGTTTTTATGATTAAATATGATCGAATCCCGATTCCTGTTTTAATGAGGATTTACGGTTTGATTTGATTAGAAATTCGTAATAATTACATAAAGGGGTGAAAAGCAAAATAGCCCAAGTGACTATTGTTAAGTACAGTTTCAATATCTTAAATACCAGTTGTTTAAAGGTAAAATCTCCTAGGCAAACCCAGTAACTGCAGTTACCCATGGGTGTTTGTATCAATGCACACTGCTCAGTAGGTACCCAAAGATTCCATCTTTGCCCAAATGGTTGTATTTATGGGCAGTAAGTACTAGGTTTTTGTATCTATGCGCAATAGGTACCAGATGATCATACCCATGCGCAGTTATTTTAAGATGCCGTAATGCGCAGTCGTTACTGGATTATTGCTTTTATGCGCAGTTGATACCAAAAGTTTCCGGATGGCTGTTAAAATGCGGAGTAGTTCCTGGATCTTTAAGCAGTTCATATCAGATGACGTACCTTTGTGTAGCTGCTTTCAGATGGTTGTAACTATGCGCTGTAGTTACCATATGGTTTTATCTATTCACAGTTGTTTCTGGATAATTGTATCATTGTCATTATGATTGTATAGAGTGCGGCAAAATAAAAAAAAATCTGCGCATAAAAATATTTTTTTTATGAATACTGTTTATTAAAACATGTACTCTCTAAAAATGAATTAGTCAAAAATGACTAATTACTATAGTTATTAGAGGCTGCTTTTTCACTTATACCATGGTATACCATGGATTAGCATGGTATACCCGATATAATAGCCAGTTCTTATGTAAAATTGTCCTCATAATCCGAAACTGTTGTCAAAAGTTATAAAAGTAGAACAATTTTCCATATAATATGGAATTGACTATATCTCAAAAACTGTTTTACTTTTATAATTTTGTGACAGTATTTTGGGTTTTAGGGGACAATTTTACATAAGAATTGGTTATTATATCGGGGAAACCATGCTATCCCATGGTATACCATGGTATAGTGAAAAAGCAGCCAGTAATAACTGTAGTAATTTTATTTTTGACTAATTCATTTTTATTATATTTATTAAATTAATTATGTACAAAAAATAAAATCGAGTAAATGGAATCGAATTGGAATTTAGGCAATAGTTTCATTAATATTTGCCTGTTAGTCTTCTAACGTCTTTGAGCGGTTAATATAGACTTTACTTTCAAGTAATGAATGAAATCGAAAAGACAAAAGTCCTTTTAATTTTTTAGTCATAAAAAAGTGTGATTAAAAAACAAATTATTTACAGGGGGACCCAACAAAATATTAAGTAATAATGTGTTATTGTCAAATTTCTCCATATTTAATTGCGATGTTGTCAGATTGTGTCAAAATTACCTAAACAAGTAAAAGTGCGAGTTAAAATTATAAAATAAAAGTTTTGGAAATATAAATTAACAATTTCTGCGCGTTCTTAAGACAAAAAACGCTCCGTAACAAAATTTTGTATCATTCTACTTTAATAAAAAAAACTTTACGTCCGACAGTTGTCAAGGAAATAACAAAATTATAACAATATGGGACAATGGGAAATATAAGTAAAACGTCTGATCTTACACTATTTGCTGATGATACCACAAATTGTGGTCCACAATTGTAGTAAAATATACAGTTCTTGAACATTTGGAGGTGAAGTGTGAGAGAGAAAAATGGTTCACCGAAAACAAACTTGTTTTAAACAAAGGGAAGACACAAACTTTGTGTGTCACAAAGCACTATTTTCTCCTTAAGAGATCTTAATAAATTAAACAAACTTGCTCTAAATTATGGAAAGACATAAAGCTCCTTAAGAGATCTTAATTAATTAAAAAGGAAAGAACCCATTAAATTTCTTGGAATCCTGTTTAACAGCAAATTAAGATGGAACAGTCACATAGATTCACTATCGAAGAGGTTGAATACCAATATATTTATTATTCGTAATTTTGTTGGTAGTGTGTCCAGTGAAGTATTGACTAGTGCATATTTTTCTTATTTCAATAGCATATTTCATATGCCAGAATATTTAGTCTGCAATGCAAAATTATAAGGATTATTGCCTCCCTTGGTTACAGGGACGATTGCAAGGCCAAATTTAGAAGACTTGCAATGACTTTTCCTTCCTTATTTATTTATTAAAATCTACTATACGTAAAAATTAATTTACACTCACATAAGTCATGACTGTGTACATAACCATAACACTAAAAATAAAACCAACTTAATTAATAGATTCTCTAGACCGAACAGGTGCCAAAGTGGACCTGATTTTTATGGAATTAATTTTTTTAACAAACTTTCAAATAATGTAAAAATATGGCTTTTAATGAATACAAACTGTTTTTAAAATCATTTTTTCCTAATCATTCATTTTATTCTATTCTTTGTTTAATTTGTATGTACATTTCTTGTACTATTTTTTTATTTGTATTTTCCTGACGTTGTAAACCTTTTGGTAAAGGCACTAATAATAATAATAATAATTATTTTTAATATTAATATTATTATTAATATCATTATTATTATTATTCATATTATTAATATTCCATAGCTGGGTATATTTTGCAACACCCTATATGTTTTTTGTCTCGGTACTTACATATTGTAATAATTATATAAAAAAAATAACAATATTGTGGCATTTCACCTTTATTTTTATGTTAAATATTCATGTAATAATCATTACATAAATTAAAAGATATTATTTTACTTCTGCTTTAAATTTTAGTGGCGTCCTGCCATTTTCTGTGTCCTTTTTATATTATCGATTCATTATTATTAAAAACCAACCCAATAAATCTCATAAGAATTTTATATAGCCGAGCATACATTTCACTGTTGAGGCGCTAGCCTAGGCATTAGATTGTGTGCGAGAAAGTAGGTACCTAAAATATAAATATTTCAGTTTAATGTATTTTTAATACCCCTAAGATGCAAGGTCTGTTTTCAGGAGGGCAAGCATATGGGATTGAAGACAACTATGATGCCCGGAGTGGAATTGATCCATAATATTGAATTGCAATATTGCAATTAAGTTTTATGATCTGTGGCAATTAATATTAGGTAATAATAATCTAAAAGGTGGAGGCGCTTATTAAAGCCGAGCTCAGCGTTCGCTGACGAGATGTAGTCGAGGCAGCAGATCTGAGGGTGGCAGTTAACATGCTTTCACCGCCCTGTTGTATATACTTTTTTTAAGCATTTTATAATTCTTACTTGTTTTAACATTTTCGAGCTTTTTACATTTGGTCATAGGTTTGACGTTTGACATATGTAATATTATAGGTTATGTGTAGGAATTTGTTTCAGTGTGAGTCACAGTCTGTGATCTGTAATTTTAAATTAAAATACTAAAATTAAATTACAGTCACAAACGTTCAAACCGTCGACAGTTTGGTCGAAATATTCAATGCTGAAAGCAGTGTTAAGTGTTAAAGAAAATATTCATATCGACAAATTTACAAGAGTTATTGCTTTTTTTTTAAGAGAAATTTGGTTGGTTGCGAGCCTAAAAAGTCTTAGATTTTGTCCAGAGAAGAGATCGATAAATTTTTGGCTATGGCTAGTGATGAAACTTATTTACTTACTAAGGTTAGTTTGCGGTGATGAATTTAAGATACTGTAAACACGGGTGACTTTGCACCCCGCGTTTGACTTTTTTCGCGGTCGATAATAATAATAATACTTTATTGTCCAACAGTACAAATAACCAATTACAGGACAATTTATAACACATACAGTAATATTACATACCTATTAACAAAGTGCAACACATATAAAATATATAATAAAATATAGTAAATATAATAAATATTTGACAAAATTAAAGATTCTATTCACAATATTATTTATTGAGGAATAATTAATATCAGGAGAACCATTTAACATGTTAAAATTTCTACACATAATATAAATAGGAGATTTTTTAAGAATATTAGTACGACATCTACAGCAATAAAAAGTTGGACAGGAACGGGTACCCTGTCTTGGGACATGAAAATTAATTATACTCAATAAAATATCACAGTCGATATAAAAAATAACGAAGTATTAACTCTTCTAGTTTCTAATGATAAGAAATCATATCTGTGAAGCAGTGTTTCATGACTATAACCCTGAGGTGGGTAGATACTAGTAATTTTATAATTAAGATATTTTAAAAATTTTCTATTAATTGATTTCAATTGCTTGTTGTAGATATTGTTTATAGGATACCAAATTATCGAGCAATATTCCAGCCTTGAACGAACAAATGAAAAATACAGCACCTTAAGGCAATCAATGTTTGTTATATTTTTGGAGTTTCTAATTATAAAACACAACATTTTTGTGGATGAAAGACAAATAATTTTAATATGATTAGAGAATGAGAGACTTGTGTCAAATGTAACACCTAGATCTTTATTATTATCACTGCGCGCATCACGCATGCGTTCCAGAACAGTACTGTCTATATTATAATTAAATTTTATATTATTCTTTTTGGTAGTACCTATAAGTCATAGCTTTGCATTTAGAAATGTTTAGAGATAATCTGTTTTTATTACACCAATCATTAATTTTATTGATTTGATTTTGTAGAAATAAACAATCATCAACATTTTTATGGTAAAATAGATTTTTAAATCTGCGAATAATAGTTTATCACATTCAATAATATCTGGCAAATTATTAATAAAAATCAGAAATAGCAAGGGCCCCAGGTTGGAAACCTAACCGACGTCGGTTATAAAATACTATTTGCTCCCTATTAAATAGGTAAGATTTAAATAAACTAATAAGATTGTCATTGAAACCAAAAGAATTCA